TTGGACTTAGTCTTTTTATGACGGGGTTGCGTGCCAGTGTGAGTGATGTCGAAGGTATAGGAGAAGGCCCGGGAGTCATGGGGACCTTCCTAAACTCTGAGAGCCCACTTCTACGTTGGTCGATAAGCCTTGACTCATATAGGCATGCAAGCCCAATGGCGGCATATAAGGATACTGGATTGCATGCTTGGACATCAACACGCAAACTTTCCTTCAAGCCGCTAATAAAGCATCCCCCACTTGTTGTCCTTCGGAAAGAGATCCTGCTCGGTGTAATAATCGGTCAAACTCCATTTGGTAATCACGAACACTCCCTGTTTGCTTAAGCTTCGTGAGATCTCCAAAAAAATTATGGTACCGCGATGGTCCATAACGAAGATGGAGTTCATATTTGAAGACTCCCCAGTTCACGCCTCGCCTTAAAACTTTGGTACCGTAGTTGGACATCCCCATCCAAATGATACCCCGCCAATGGCAATTTATCCGCTTCCTCAGTTTGGTGAAAATCGTAAAATTGCTCCACATGATAAATCCACCCGATCGGATCATTCATTTCATTATAGCGTGGAAAATCTAACTTTGTTATTTTTGGTGCAGTGAATCCTCCACCCGCAGATCCTCGAAAGTTGATGTAAGAGGAACCATCTCCATTCTCGCGTCCTTTGTCCGACCCTTCCTCCCGTTGATGGGAGAACATGGCGAACATGGATTCCACCGTTTTCTGGAGTGATTTCATCGATTGTTGCAACGAGCCTATTTCGCCCTCCAATTTATCAACACGGGGGTCGGACATGGCTGGCTCTGATACCAAGTTGTTACGTGCTTCGGATATGGATCGAGTAATAGGTCGATTGACGGATAAGGACCAAGGATTGTTCTTGCGTTGACGACCTATAATGGTGATATGGTTGGACACTTCGAGGGGTCCGAGGCCTCCTTGTATTGGTTAATTCGAGTAAACCAATAAAACTCCTAAATCAACACAAGGTTGAAGACAAATTCATTTTATTCTTTTATTCACTTTTCTCTTGCTAATAAATAGCCATTACAAGATACCCTTTTATGGGAAAGGCAAATTACAAGAGCAAACATTATTGTAATAAAAGAGCAATATGAAAAAACAAATTATAAGGCTAATCTTAATTGGAACCAAAAGAGAAATCAGGAAATTAGACAATTATCTTGGCCAAGATAATTTTCTAATTATCCGTTACAATATTACATACTAACTTTCCCAACCGGGGAATCTTCATATTATCTCATGTTGCTATACCTCAATAATATCAATGAAATGCAAGTTCGAGCATATAAAATAATAACGAAATGCGACTTTCACTAAAAAATATATCTTATAAGATAAAAAGTAACTCCCCTTCTCCTCTCTCATTGCTTTCTTCGCTCTCTAATTATTTCTCCGTCACATTTTTTCTCTCTTGCTACTTGAGGCAAGAACTGGTGTCCGATAATGTGTGTCCCATTCCAAGTACGATGACTTCACATCTCGTTTTGTAAGTTCTCTTTCTCTCCCTTCACCCAAGATTGATTTTAAGAAATTTCACTTGATTTGTTTGAAAAATAAAAATTCTGAAGTTCATTCCTAATCGCGTTAGATCTAGTTCCTTCATCACTAGTTATATACCAAACAAAGCATGCGTATTGAATATGAAATGCGTACTGCTAGATTATCAAAGCTAAGAAAATAAGAATAGATTGAGTCTAAATTCATTGTCCCATTGTTGCTAGACAATAGATATGGACTCAGACTCTATACAAAAAATTACAAAATCTTAGTTAAATAAGAAAGATCGGAATCATAATCTTCTACATATAATGCATATTTGTTATAAAATAGACATTATATTTAACATTTTTTATTTATTTAAAATGATGTAGTCCCATCTAATTCTCATTTCACTTGTCACTTTCAACATAGACAAAAGTACTAATGTTTATTACCTTATTATTAGGCATTTGATCATAATTCCTTTTGGATAGGCATGCCAACTTTTGTGCTAATATTGCACTAAGGTTGCACTTCACTTCCCATGTGTTACACATAGAATTGTTACACTTATCAAATATTTTTATTGATCAAAATGTATAAAATTTATGGAACAAAAAGATAAAAACACTGAAGAATAAAAATGTGGTTCGCGCTTTGAAAGATATCATTCACATAAACTAAGTCCTTTTTTACCGATCCCTTTATATCACTTTGCAACTTTCGTTCGAGAATGAATATGAAAATGTATTTATTTATTTCTTCACTTTTTTTAACCTTCCTACCTACTTCCAAGATATAGAGAAATCCATTCAATTTTCATTTTGGAATTAGTTTGTGTGTCATTAATTAAAGAAAGTATACATAGGAACTAGAAATTAAATATAATTTAACTAGCACAGGTCCAAGAATAAAATATTACATACAAACTTTACCAAGAGGTAATTCTTCATATTATCTAATGTTGCTATTTCTCAATAACATCGAAATGCAATTTCGTGCATAGAAAATAATGGTGAAATGTGACTTTCACTTAATATACTTTATCGGAAATAAAATAACTCCGCTTGTCGTCTCTCACTTCTTTCTTCACTCTCTAATTTGTTCGCACTCGCACTTTTTCTCTCTCACTAGCAATAATTGGTGTCTTACGTGTTTTCCATCCCATCCCAAGAATGGTGACTTCACTCTAGTTTTTAAGTTCTCTCTCTTTTTATCCAAGACTTATTTTAAGAAATTCCACTTGATTTGTTGGGAAAATAAAAATTTTGAAGTTAATTCCTGATCTCATTAAATCTAGTTCCTAACTTCATCACTAGTTATGTACCAAACGAGGCATGTATGTTGAACATCAAATGCGTACCACTAGATTACTGAAGCTAAGAAAATAAGAATAGTTTGAATACCGATCCGTTGTACCCTTTTTGTTAGACAACAAATTTGGACTAAGACTAAACAAAAAATACAAAATCTTGTTAAATAAGAAATATCGGAATCATAATCTTCTATTGTTCTACACATAGTGCGTTATAAAATAGAAATTATTTTTAACATTTTTCTTATTTAAAATGATGTAGTTTCAACTAATTCACAATTCTCCTATCACTTGTCGATATAGACAAAAGTACTCTATGTTTATTACTTTTATTATTGAATTTTGTTAGACAAACAGGGCGTGCTAATTCTCCTGTTACTTTTATTATTGAATTTTGTTGGGCAGGCACCCTGCCAATAGGGGGACACGGAAAACTAGGGTTACGTGGTCCTGTTTGAGAGGAATTGTCCTTTATTATTAGGCATTTGATAATAACTTCTTTTGGATGGGCATGCCAACTTTTGTGCTAATAATGTGCTTAAGGTTGCACTGTGACTTCCCATGTGTTACACCTAGAATTGTTACTCTTATCATTCAATCATTCATTTCTTGAAAAATAAATTTAACAAAATAAAATAAAACACTTATCAATCATTCATTTCTTGAAAAGTAAATTTTAACAAAATAAAGTGAAACCCAAACGAAAGTTGTATTAACGTGTAATCAATGAGTCATGCGAGAATGAATATGAAAATATATGCATCTATTTCTTTTCACTTTTGTAACCCTCCTTCCTACTTCCAAGATATAGAGAAATCCAACCCTATTTTCATTTTGGAATTATTTTGTGCGTCATTATTGAAGAATGTTACAAACTTGGAAATTAGAAATTAACAAAATAAAATTAGTTTGCACTGAAACTATCTAATCTTTGCTTCAAAATATTTTATTAACTAGCACAGATCCAAGAATATAATTTCTTTACCAAGTGGTAATTCTTCGTATTATCTGATGTTGCTACACCTCAATAACATCGATGAAATGCGAGTTCGAGCATAGAAAATAATGATGAAATGGGATTTTCACTAAATATAACTTGTAAGAAATAAAGTAACTCCCCTTCTCCTCTCTCACCGCTTTCTTTGCTCTTGAACTCGTTCTTGATCACGCTCTTCCTCTCTTGCCATTTGAAACAAAAATTGGTGTCCTGCGTGTGTCTCGTCCACAGGAACGGTGACTTTGCTCTAGTTTCTGTAAGTCCTCTCTATCTTTTTACCCCAAAATTGATTTGTTTGAAAAATAAAAATTCTGAAGTTAATTCCTGATTACATTAAACTAATTCCTAACTTCATTTCTAGTTATATGCCAAACAAGGCAGGTATGTTGAACGTGAAATTCATACCACTAGATTACTGAAGCTAAGAAAATAAGAATAGATTAAGTCAAAATTCGTTGTCCCATTTTTGCCAGACCACATATTGGACTCGGACTCTATACAAAAACACAAAATCTTAGTGAAATAAAAAGTATCAGAATCAAAGATTCAAAATCATAATCTTCCACCCATAGTTTGAATTTCATATAAAATAGACATTATTTTTAACATTTTTTCTTATTTAAAATGATGTAGTCGCATTTAATTCACAATTCTCCTCTTACTTGTCAATATTGACAAAAGTTTTAATGTTTATTACCTTTATTAGGCCCGGTTTGGAAACGATTTTGAAAATTGATTTTTTGATCGTTGGGAGAAAAGTTGAGCCATATGTGAGAGAAGAAGTCAAACTTTACTACTGTAATAATGAAATAATTATCAAAAAATCAATTTTTTTGGGTGAAAATCACTCCCGAATATCCTCTTAGACATTTAAATTTGATAAAATTCATTTTGGATAGGCATGCCAACTTACTGTAATTGCACTTAAAAGAGTTGAACAGCTTCAACTATTTTTTTTTTTTTTTTTTAGAATAATACTATTTGTACATTTTCTATCTTTCATATCATTTATCTGTATACCATTATGTACACAATAATGTACAAAAAAATACCTTTTTTAATGAAAAGTGCCCTTATATGGGCTGTTTTGCATTTGAATTGGGCCTGTAAACCGTTAAAACTGAAGGCCCAAAATCCGTACCCCCTCACTCTCGCTATGCTAAAGAGAGCCTCCTAGGCGTAGTGCATGTGATGCACAACTCGTACACCCCTCACTGAGTCAACACCAACGATTACATGAATCGCCTCTCGATCTGTAAGTTCACAAAAAGATCCCAGAAATATGAAATTCCCCTAATATCTGATGGAAACCCTAACCCTAACCCTAGCTCTAGTCTTAGTGCCAATTGGTTTACTCAGATCGTCCCTTCGTTCAATTCTCAATGCCAAATTCAATCTCTCTTTCTTCTTATCCGCTGATTAGCTAATTAAAACCTCAAATTTTTTTCGTGATCATCAGATCAAAATATTTGGTCCTTTCTGTTTTTCGTGTAGTTCCTTTCTTTTTTTCCTAATTTTTGTATTGTTAATAATTGGTGTAGAGGTTTTATTTTCCGTTATGCATCTGTAGAATAATTTTGTTCGATTACAAAAAATAATAAAACAGGAAAGTATTTTTTTCCGTTTTATATTTAATTATATATATACATTGTATCGCATATATATAAAGAGTGAAAGGGACAGGGACAGAGAAAGATGGGGAGTTCGGAAACTGGAGGAGTGGATTGCAGCGTGGGGAGTATAGTGTGGGTCCGGAGGCGAAATGGGTCTTGGTGGCCAGGAAAGATAATAGGGACTGAAGAGCTCTCGGCGTCCCATATAACGTCTCCACGGTCCGGAACTCCGGTTAAGCTTCTTGGAAGGGAAGATGCAAGTGTGTAAGTCTGCACATTAATTCAAAATTGCTTTTTATTTGACATTTTTCTACTACATTTGTTGGTGTATAGCTGTGATTTTCGTGGCTGCATGTGCTTATTGTTGGATTTAGAACGATGAATTAAATTTCTTTCATCGGTGTTAATTGTTGGCGCCTGAATTGAATTTTCACGCACAAGACAAGGGGAACTAAATTACTGAAATTTGACTTTGATGATTTGACGTTTATTGTAACACACTTGGCCATGCTTCAGCAATGCATTATTTTGCTGTTTGTGGATGGGAAATTCCTTTGATAAATGAGTTGGTCTGTGTGTAATTCTGATACTCTTTGGACATATAATGTAGGCCAAAGGATATAGAAGTTATATATATGTAACTTATCTGCTTGCTTATCATCTTTGACTGATTAATTGTCCTCTCCAGTTAGAATCTCTTATCCAAAATTTCTAAACTTGTGTAATTTATAAGGGAAATTTTTTATTGAATGGAAGATCTTAAAATTTAAAATGCTAGGTGTTGAGCATAATTGGGAATTCTTTGAAGGAATTCATGTGTTGGATTCTTGTACCGATCCAATCAATTTACTAATTGCTTTAGTTTATAAGATGTCCATAATCCTCATGTAGTTTTCTCAGTGTGAACCTTGAGGTGGTACATCTCCATATTTTTTTTTGTATTGTTTTAGATCGTTTGAAAGGTATTTCTCCTTTTTCTGCCAACATATGTATGTGAGGCCTAGGCTTCCTTTTATTTTAGTTATAAAGATTTAAGGTGAAGCTTCCAAGAAGCATGGACTCCTCTACCTTAGCATGAACTGAATTATGATGAACTTACTGAACCACTAAGCTTTCATACCACACATAAAGAACATGGATAAACTATCATATTTGTCAAAATTATTTTTGTTTAAAAGCAAGTAATATTTTTATTTTGGGTGCTTTCTTCAAAAACGGCTGCTCTTGTCTCTGTTTGCGCTCTCATTCCCACTCCCACTCCACTCGTGCTCTCACTTTGGTTTCAGGTATGTTTGTGTGAGGTGCATTGCTTCTGCATAGATTTGAATAATGATTTATTAAGCCTTAGTAACTGAATTAGCCAATTAGGGTTTAGCTGATTCATATTGTGTTTTGCTTCATTTTTATTGCACTTTAGTCACATTGTTGGAGTGATAACAGCATATGTTTAGTCCAAATATGAAGCCTGTAGTTGATTAGAAAGTTTTTCAAGACTGGATATCAGGTGATAATGTAATGCTGTAGGACTAAGGACATGATCTTAGGCCACACAGATACACACGCATCAGGGGTACATTGAATAATATGCAAAATTGCATGATTAAGGATAATGTGCAACAATAATATGGTGAATTGGAAAACAAAAGAAAAATTAATGAGCGTGGAAAAATGTAGAAGAAATATGATTTCACCGTAGAACTAGTTGGAAGCGAGAGGTATGCCAAAACTGCCAAGGATCATTTTGCTTTGTATATTCTAGTAGATTTAGTGATGGGACTGAATGGTGCGACGAAAAGTATTAATGTAGCTGATCCTAAATTCGTGGGGAAATAATACTTCGTTTTTTGATTTTATGGTTGAAAGATGCTGTCTATGTGACCATCTTTACAGCTGCTGTAACCAGGGTTCTTGTGCATGAAGGTTGTTTTTCTTGATCATAGATTAGGCCTTGTAGGGAGAGCTTGAAACCTTTTGTATTTGCATCTTCCTGTAGGTTATTAGTATTATAGAATAACAAAGGGACTGCTGTAATGAAAATGAATATTGAAATACAAAAATTTATTAGAATGGCATGAGAAATCTATTCACTGAAAGATTGTGGTTGCTAGATGGCAAAGGCCTTAATTGAGTGTGTAGAACTGTAGAGAAGTAGAGGTCATTGATATACTTCAAAAATAGAAGACAGGTAAACCTCTGAGCAGAATAAGTGGTATTAGGGGAAAAAACCTCTGAGCAGAATAAGTGGTATTAGGGGAAATTTTCTCTTCATTTGCAGAGTTTTGAGGTCTTGAAACTTGTTGTTCTCCGAGTTTCAATGATTTAATTTCTTAAAATTTCACATCTGTAGTTGAGATGTTAAATGCCAGCGGACTCACGTTGTCTTATAAGTTCATTCCTGAACTAAATGGAAGGACAATTTGAGTACAAATCTGATACTCAAATGATTTGAAAAGTAATTGCTAAAGTTGCCCAAACTCTAGTAGTGTTGTTTCCATTTCTTTGAATAACTTTTTGTATAACTTCTATAAGGAACACTTATAACTTATCATCGCTGATTTTGCTGCCATTTGCAATTCATTTATTTTCTATAAAATATGGAAGTCAGAGGTTCTCATAATAAATAATTATTTCTTAGATATTATGTAGATATACACTGGTCTAGAAGAAATAATTATTTTGTAGTTCTTTTCACTCAGTTGTTTATGTGTTACAATGTTTATGGCTATGTGTACTCCCAGAGACTGGTACAATTTGGAGAAATCTAAACGTGTGAAGGCGTTTCGGTGTGGCGAGTTTGACGAGTGTATAGAAAGGGCTGAAGCTTCTCAGGGCATGCCTCCAAAGAAAAGAGAGAAATATGCACGTCGGGAAGATGCAATCCTCCATGCTCTTGAACTTGAGAGACAGTTATTGGAGAAAAGTGGGAAAGTGAGTTCTGCTTCTGATGATAGGAACAAGAAGTCTGAAGATGTCACTTATTCAGGTCACTATGAAAATGGAAGTGGAAATCAGATAGATCCCAGGTCTCTTCAAGTTTCTGAGAGGCTTGGTTTGAAAGTTGCAGAGAACCATGTGGCGAATCATATGCATGGAGATAAAGTCCGGGAGGGAAACCAACTGAGAGGAGATGATGATAATGCTGGTGTACTACCCCGGATGAGAGGATTGCAGGACATTGGTCTTCGGAGTGCTCTGCTGCAAATGCATAAGCTTTCTCCTTCAGTAGATTCAAATATTTCTCCAAAACCTCCTGTTGTTTGCAGCACTCCTGCACTCCCTAATGATGCTTTTTCAGCAGACTGTAAAGCTGACCCCAATATAGAAAATTTGTCAGACAATAGGAAAAGGTTGGATGAAAGCTTGGCCGACGTATCCATTGTCAAGAGGCACAGACAGCGCCCTCTTACTCAAGTACTGGAGAATAGTGCAAAATTACCAGTTCCAGAATCTCAGATGGAAACATCCATTTCCAAGTTTGAAGAAAGTTATAATCCACATTCTGCTGATTATGGTGAAGAGCACACTTCTGAGTCCACAGAGGACACTGAAACAGATTCTTCTGAGACCGATACAATGGAATCAGAGTCTGATGACGAGATGACTGCTCTTTCTGGTTAGATTTTGTCTATTTGCATTTCCTTTTGAGGAAGCGTCTTTAATCCTTTCATGCTATAGCATGTTAAGTTTGTTCTCACAGCCGTCTTTAATCCTTTCATCCACCTTAAGTGGGCTATCAGTTTTTCGTTCTTCTTTGGTCATGTATGTCATTGCATTTCTATGCCAGTCTTGCCTGGAAACTGACATTTCAGTTTCTTGTTCAGATAACCAGGAAATTACATTTCTGTATTATATTTTAACTGAATTTGGAGCCAGCCAAAATTTTATCATTCTAGTTTTTCTTTTGTGCCTATGGTTATTTTTGCTTAATATTACTACATCGCTACAAATATCACCCGATATTACTCCTCGTCCAATATGCATGACACTGTACTCTAAGGATTGACCTGTTTATATGAAATCACCGTTCGTCTTTCTTTACAGTACCCCCCCATTGCTTGTTCTGTTGATTATGACTTTATTCTTGTTTGTGTGTTCCTTCCACCAATGAAGGGGGGATTTTTTGTGCTAACTAAGGGTATTGGTTTCCAGATGGTTCTGCATCCATAGAATTACAACCCAAATATCCAAGAACTGAAGAACAAGAAGAACGTGGAGGCATGAGCAGTGATGACCTTGATGAACTGGAATTTGGAGATGATACCCCCCGTTCTTTTCACAACAATCCACTCTCGGCTAGCATGGAGGGGTCCAGATGGCAGCTGAAAGGGAAAAGGAATAACCGTGGTCTTATGAAGAGGTCTGATGCGGAAGTTTCCAGAGGATATATACATGGAAGAAAGTCGAATTGGAGCAGTAGTGGTAAAAAATCTGATTTGATTGAGAGAAATTTTAGGACTAACATGCCTGGATATGGATCTACAGGTCTCCCAGATGGCTTGGTTTGGAATGATCACTCATCCAAGAGAGGATATTGGGACGATTCAATCGATCCTTTATCTGCTCAGCATCATTTTGGTGGAAGGACCATGTTGCTGGACGTGGATTTGAAGGTTCAGGCGAACAACTACCGAAGAGATGTCCCTCTCATTTCTTTGCAGAGTAAGCTAAATGGACATGCTATAATAGGACACCCAATCCAAATTGAAGCTCTTGAAAGTGGTTCCTCAGAAAACCTTATTCCTGCAACTGATCGTTTTTATCCTGAGACATCGGAGAATCATACAGCACTTACACCCGTATGGACGACTGCTCGTAGAACATCAAATTTTCGGGTTCCACGACCACACGTTTCCTCGGCAATGAGTAGTGAAAGTAAACCAGATCTTCAAGTTGTTGTTGACCAATACAAAAGAATGCCATTTGGACACTCCCAACATTTGGACAGATCTCCAAGAAATTTACCGACAAAAATTATTCCATCTTCCAACCAGAAGACAAGAACTCTTTCATCGATTGCTTCAGGATCGAAACATTGTGTTGATCAACAAGGGGGATGCAACGATTATGAAGCAGATGGGTTGAAGAAAAACCAGGACACACCACCAACAGTAGCTTGTATACCCGTTAAGTTGGTATTCAGTAGGTTACATGAGGAGTTGGCTGGGCGCCATCAGTAATGAAGTCATGAGTCATGATCCCGAATGTGGAAATAAAAGACGGTAATCGCCATTAGCCTTGATGTAAATTCTTAGAGAGTAATAATAATATGACCCCCAGATCAAACCGTTCTTTTCTTCTGAAGCTCCATCTTTGTATTTATTTTGGTTTAAAAACCTGTAGAACGGATTGAAACATGAAATGAAGAATCATAGGATGTTTTGAAGGATATATATATTTGGCTGGCTTTGTATGCACAAGAGGATGGTGCTTTGGTGTGCTCTAGGGATAGAAATACATAATGTAGATTTTATATAGATGAATATACAATCGTATCTTGACATGTATTTAATGTGAGCTTTATTTTATTATTTTTTCTTTTTTAGCTCTGAATTCTCTACATTTTTCACAAGCGTTGAATCCTAATCTGCTCGTTGACTTTTTCGACTTTTGATATCAGGCAAACGGAGTAGACATTTTTGAAGATGAACAGAGCTTTGAAGAAAACCACATTCACATAATTTTGAAGCACATTAAAATTAAATGCCTTTCATCTCTTTTGAAATAATACATGGAGAACAAACACGGAATTTACATTGTTAGGGAAAAAAATTGTTGCAAAATTCAAAGCTATAACTGAAGCGCATAAACTAACAATGCTCCAACTCCACCATTACCAGCTACAAGCCCAATGATGACTCTAATAGGAGGCAGTCCGCTGCCGATAGCCTTTCCCATGTTACCTTAATATCGTGCAAATATCCTCTTCGGCGCTCTACACTGGACAGGTGTAATCTTCCAGCTGCATCATAATAGAAAGTCAAACAGGAATCTTATTACAGATTAATTGATTGCTCGTACAAAGTACTTGTTTCTAGGATAAAATTCAGAAGAAAGGAGAAGAGAGCTAGCCTGCTCATCAAAAGGTTTTTGCAAGGTATATATGAATCCACAATCAATGCATATATGAGTTGCTCGAGCCTGAAAAAATGTTGAACCAATTTACTTGTTGAGATGAACAGAGAATACATGTATGGAAAAGATTATGATGCCAAAGTGAGCCTCCCCTTTTGACATCAACCTCTGCACCTCTATATGGGAAAATAATTCAAAGATTATCAGGCATAAAACATGGTCAATTTTATATGCCTTAGTACTCCATACGAGTATTGTTGAAGCAGCGTAAAGGTGGCGTGACACTGAATTTTATAGCTACATTTAACAGATACATCCCTCTATGTTCAAAGCCTTGTATAATATAGCTATGATCATCCAGCAGGAAAGGAAACATTGCAAATTCTCGTACCAATATTCACATAGGAAGACTGAACATAGCTTCAATAGCATTCAGTTACATTTTGAATATATGTAAAAAAAAAAAAAAAAAAATTTCTTGTTTGTAGTTCGCTATATGTTTGGGCTACTCACTGAAAAATCCTTTCAAATTTCAAAGATAATTATTCCCCCGTTAAAAACTAAATAGAGCCAACAAACATATTTCAGTGTTTATCCGGTTAAGAGGAAATTGATAGCACTGTAACTTCTAATGGCTTCAAATGCAATCCCAAAAAAGACATGTTAATAAAACCAAGTGAAGTGTCTACGTACATTCAAAAGTAAACCAGGAGAAATTTGAAATTTTTGAAGATGTTTAGATCTTGGGTCGTTCTCTTTTTAACCTCCCATGTCTCCAATTTACCCAATCCATATGAACCAATTTGAAGTTCTAAGGAATTCCTCGAAGTGACAAAGCTATCAGGAGAATTGTATAAGAATTGATCTGGCATAACATCCTCATACTTATATTCATTCTGACCTTTTCAACATCGCTTTGAGAGAACAACTCAAATATGAATGACGAAGAAATATGGGAACTTGTTCTTTCTAAAGCAATACACATGGACAGGGAGAGTAATAAAAGATCATATTTTTTGAACTCAATCACACACACTAAAATGCCATTTAATACATATTTGAAGGAATGATAATGGAATAGCAGTGAGTCTGTATTCCTGAAAATTTCTTTCAATTTTCTCTAAGGATCATTGGATGAGAAAATAATTTGGAAACACACTTTCAAAATTAACAGCTTATAATTGTTTAAATAATCTTGGGGAGGTTATTTAGTCTAGACTTTTATAGATTTTTTGAAGTGATAGACTTTTATGGAATTCATAATCTTTATTGACTTTGAAGTCTGTCATAGATTTCTATAGACTTTCATTTAAATTTTTTTTGTAAACTTCAATAGAATTTATTTGACTTTTACAGACTTTTATTTTAGAAAAAAAATTATTGTACAAATAACTTATTGTGCATCCTTGTTTAATTGAGTTATTTATTTATGCACTACAATTTAATACTATTATAAACCTCTACTTGCATGGCCAAATGATTCAGCACATATGGGAACAAAATTATATTTTTTTATGTCAATAAAAATATTTTTTTAAAAGAAAATAAAAAATATTAGTCATCTCAATTAGATAAACAAATAACCAAAATTAAAAAGTATAACATTTCAATATTCTTTGCTGAAAAAGAAAATTTCTAATGTTTAATATTATCAATATGTCCAAACTTTAAAAATATATTAAACAAGCAACAATATACAAAAATTTAATTACGAACTAATCAATTTTTTTTTTTGTAAAACGTTATAAAAATTTAATAAAAAAATGATTTTTTATAGAAGAATAGGAGGAGACGATGAAAAAAAAGAAGAGAGAAAAAAATCTTGTAAGAAATTTTTACAAATTGATCTTTTTTCATAGAAAAAGGGTGAAAAATAGGAAAAAGAAGAGATAGCAAAAGGGATGATAAAAATAATAATAAGAACAACATATTGAAGAGAGAGAGAAAAATATTGATTTTTTGTATCATAACTCTAGGATAGGCAGAATGAAACAAGAAAGAAATGTTGAGGAAAAATAAAAATTAAAAAGTAAAAGTAGGGATGTCAATTTGGCTCGTCGGCTCATACAGCCGGACTCTTGGCTCGATAGTATAGAAACAGCTGCATTTTTTTAAACAATAATAAAAAATCACGAGCCAGCTTGGCTCGATAAATCCCGAGCCAAAAGCTCAGGTTAAGCCTAGATATTTTGGCTGAGCAAAAGTTCAGTTAGGTCAAAAAAAAGCCCTAACCATTTTTACTCATTGACATCTCTAACCAAAAGACCTTTTTTTTTTAAGTCTTTCAAAATTTGGGATGAATGAGACACAAATTGTAAGATTTTGTATGTGTACTTCCTATTTAAAATTAGCACGTGGAGGATTTTATAAAACTGATTGACATTTTGAATGCCATCATATTTTAAAAAGTTTTGACCTCTGTTTGGGAGCGCTTCTTTTCACAAATAATTGATTGTTTGACTGTTGAAAATGGGCGGGCCCCACTTCTGCCACACCTTATACACCCACAACAATTGACAAGTCAAATGTGATTGCACTTTGCCAACTGCCATTTTTGCCCTTCATTGCTGGGTAAGCATAAAATCATTGAGGGGCAATCATGTCATTTCATTTAAAATGTGGAGGTAAAATTGTCACAGAGATAAAATGCATTCCTACCCTACTACACCTAGTCAAATGGTCACTGCATTGGGTCAATTATTTTATTACAAAAATTCTGATAGAATTGGGATTAAAAGCGCTCCTAGCTCCTAGACAGAGGCTTGATTTATAACTCCAAGACTATTAAGGACTTTGAAAAAGTCTATATTGAATACACCAGGACTTTGAAAAAGTCTATATTTAATACACCAAGACTTTTATAGAGTCTTTTTGAAATTCAAAGGCCTTCACTTGTTATATCAATAAAGTTCAAATTAATGTTAATGATTGATGCAGTTGCAGCCTATTATTGTTTATTGAATTAATATAAAGGAAACATTGTGGAATCAGTAAAATAAGTGTTCTAACATCTAGTCAATAAGGAAAGACAAGGATAGTTAAGCTGGTAGAAGAGCATGAAAATGAAACACGCTACTACAACGGAATAATGCAAACACTATAGGGGAATAGTAAAGACACGAAACTAACCTGCAAACAACAAAGTAGACAGAATCAGGCTTTGCTTGAATGTCAGTTGTTGTGAATCCGAGCTTATCAGCAGGTCAAAGTTCGTCTCCAAAGAAGCTACTGGTGTAAAGCACCTGGTCCCCAACTTTGAGTCTTGCTTTTGCAGCATTCCCGCCATTTTCCAAGCCCTGAATCTTTTGAGTGCATATTGATTGAATATTTATTTTCCGACCCTGAATAAAAAAATTTCGTTACAAGTGATAATCATCAAACTCAAATTCCATGAACAAATGTGTGTTTAAATGTGAATTGAAAAAAAAAAAAAAAAAAAAAGGAAATTACTCTTGATTATCAATCCACCTGATTTTTGCCCCAAAGTCAGGCCCAATGGCTTGTCAACTACAACATCAATGTTCTTTGCAGCAGCAGTTCTGGCAGTAATCTCAAGCCCCCTTTTCCTCACACTTCCACCACTGCTCTTGCTCTATCAAACTAAAGAAATGAATGTAGCCTTTTTGTCGTTTTGAACTGAAAGCCCCCGCAAACTTGTTTTCTGTTTTCATTCAAGAGTTTCATCAAACACAAAAGCCGCATGATTTTCTTATATCAATATGAAGAAATTAAAAGACATAGAACCCAGCAAAAAAATACTTAAAATTAAGTCAGTAAGTTTGAATTCCATTTGGCATATGGGTTTCCGGTGAAGGCAGCAGAGCTGGAAGAGGAGGCACCTGCAACGGTGACTGCTGACATTTTTTTGGCTTTGCCGCACACAATTTCAAGTGACGAATGGGCAAATACTGTGTATGAGTGTGTATCATCAGTATTAGATAATTCTGAATGGAATTATGTGGTTGAGAGTACAATATTGGATAATCTTTTAATGGAGAGAGGGTGGAGTTTTTGGGATGGCCACACGCCATGTTGAATCAATGCACCTCGAAAAACACAAACTAACAAACTTATATCAACGTAGAATTGTTGCTTCCAACAATATGAAGAGATTTAGGATGCATTTGATTTGTCGTTTTCAATTTTTCAAAACACTTATTTGGTCTGCTATTTTCGAAAATATATTTTGAAAACAAAGTAAAATTTATAATATAAAACTAAAAATGATTTTTTTAACGTTCTGAGTACTTTCGATTGAACACTTAAAACTCGTTAAATTAAACTTAAAATTCGAATTAAAACATAAAACAATTTGCCCTCTTCTCACTCAACCTAATCGATTCCTCTCCTTTCTCACTTGCCACCTTCTGCCAACAAGTCCATTCAGCGGCGTCCTCCATCCGGCAATATCCTCCACTCCGATGATGTCCTC